ATGGAGGCCAGAATAAAGTCTAAAATCCCTTGGAGCTAGAATTGCAAGAGTTATAAGCCACTAAAATGGGTTTTGGGAACAGAACTTGGGTCCTCTGGAAGAGCAGCAGATGTTTTTAACCACTGAGCCAGTTCTCTAGCCCTAAGGGATTATAAAATTTTATTTAATTTCCCTAAACTTGATAATTATATTCAGATTGTAAAAGAATTTCTTTGCGCTTCGGAAATAAACACTAAAATACTTAGAGGGAAAGGGACAAATATTTGTAATTGTCAAATGATTCGGGGAAAAAGTCTTCTGTAAATACATACGCACATGTATACAAAAAGAATTCTGCTTGCACAGGAACACAGGTGGGTTAGGTGGGACAGACCATGTTAGTCACTGACAAGTCTGGGTGAACAATTATCAAGAGCTCTGCGCTCTTCTCATAACACTTCTCTAAGTCATGAATTAATTCAAAATAAAGCTAAACATCAGCAGATATGCATTCCTGCACCACTTCTCCCACCCCAGCACCCCATTCCCACCTGCTGCCCCCAGTCTCCATGTCTGTGTCTAGGCTTTCTAGCTATGCTGCTGAGTCCTCACCACTCTGCAGACGATACATCTGCACCCAGGTATGGAGTTCCTTAGGCAGGATGATCAGGAACTGCTCCAGCACCAGCAGCTCAAAGATCTGCTCTTTTGTGTGGGTCTCTGGCTTCAGCCATTGGTGACAAAGTTCTCGAAGTTGTGCCAGAGCTTCCCGGGGCCCAGGAACCTCCTGGTAATGGAACTGCCAAAATTGCAGCCGGCAAAGCTCCTGGGTGTGGGTACGACCCTCTGGTGCGAGGCTAGGCGGCTCCCAGCTGGGATCTTCCACCTTCACTGTCAGGAGGCCACCTGCGTCTTCAGGAGCAGAAACTGGCAAAGCTTCATCCATGTTGAATTTGGAAGCTAAAAAAGGTTTACTTGGCCGAAGTATATCCTTCAGAACTGAATTCCAAATGTACATCTACAGTATAAAAACGGAAGAGAAATATTCAAGTCATAAGTTTCAAAACCCTATGGAACATATTTTTATTTTTGTCTTCACTACGGATTGTACTCAAAAGCTGATCCTGTTTGCATCTGTTAGAAGTAAAACGGATCAGAGGTGTATCCTCAGCACTGAAGTGATTGAGCCCAGAGATAAGGGATGAACCTTGAGGGAAGCAGGGCTAACAGTAAAAGTGACTCGTGAGGCAGAGTGGTGTATGCCCAAAATCCTAGCACTCAAGAGGCAGAAGACAGTATGGACTACACAGTAAGTTCAAGGTCAGTCTGGGCTAAATAAAGAGACCCTGTCTCAGGAAAACAACCCCTCCCAACCAAAAAAACAGTGTGAATCCTTACCTAGCTTATACTTGATCTGGAGAGGAGGGATAATTTAATTTGACCCCAGAGAAAGCAGACAGCTACCGTTAGAATGACAATACAGTTCAAAAATCACTTATCTCTGCACATTGAATATCCTACTTTAAGTATGGATATGGTATGCTCCCAAAGTTTGTCATCACCAAATACCCTCTGTCATGAGATCCTTCTTCTCTTCTCAAAACTCTTCCTTGCCTCAAGTCTGTGCTGGCCTATGACTTCCTTTGATAAAGAGAATGTGACAGACACAACACAGAAAAGGGAAATGCTGCTATAGCTCTTGGCACACTGCATCAGATGGCCATGCTGTGAGGAAGCCCAAGGGAGCCCTGCGGAGAGGTCACTTAGAACCGAGGCGCCCAAGCTAAAGCCCAGCTGGGCCTAAAGCCCAGATAACTGATCAGCTGAACATAAGTTTGTGAGTACCCCAAGCATCTGTTTCCTTTAGTAGGTTTTTTTTTTCTTTTTAATGTGACAACGGAAACAGTAGATATATATCAGGTTCATTTCCTTCCTTCTCACTTTCTCCTTTTGTGATCTCAATTTTAGCATATCTCTTTCCAGGACACCAGATTCTTTCTGGCTCCAGCTTGATTTTTAGATTCCAGATCCACATCCTCCAGTGTCAGCTGGATGCAACCAGCTGTAGGCCTGTCCTGCATTATAATTTAACACATCTCAAAGGAGATCAGAGTCCCCTCACAGCAGAGTACATTCTGTACTTTTCCATTTCTACTGATGTCGACATTTTCCATGCGTTTAGGATTAACATCAGGGCCTGTATAAAATCTGAGTCCGGCTAATTCTTTCTGAAAAATGCCCACTAGCTTCCCTTCCTTTTCATTCCCTATTACCATCTTCATTCACTATCACTACTTCTCTGTCATACTTCTGCGTGGCCTCCCATCATTGGATTAGTATTTCATAAAGCACAAATTTGATCACTTTCAACATACCTCCAGTGACAGTGTGAAATACATTTGGTATTTGCTGTTTCCCAGCATGTTACCATTAAAATATTTTTAATGGTGAGAGAAGCTGAAAGTTAAGTTGACCAATGAACCAATGATTTTATCTAGCATGTCTGTGTAATGAAGTCTCCATAAAAATCCAAAAGTTGCCGGGCGTGGTGGTGGCGGCACACCTTTAGTCCCATAGTCCCAGCACTCGGGAGGCAGAGGCAGGCAGACCTCTGAGTTCAAGGCCAGCCTGGTCTCCATAGTGAGTTCCAGGCCAGCTGGGGCTGCAGGGAGACCCTGTCTCAAAAAGACAAAAAAAAAAAGAAAAGAAAAAGAAAAATTAAAAGTTGACAGAGTCCATGGGACTTCCAAACAGTTGGAGATTGACGCCTCCATTGAGGACATGGAAATACCACACTGTAACCTTCTCTTAGGAAACAGGGGCACTTTCTGCTTGTCTGTACCCTTTATAATATATTCTTTATAACACACCAGCAAACATGTTTTCCTGAATTCTGTGAGCTCGAGGGGGGTGCAATAGGATCCCTGGTTTCCAGTCAGTGCATTAGAAGCACAGGTAAAACCACCTGGGGCTTGTCGTTGACAATGGAAGTGGAGCCAGTCTTGCATAACTGGGCCTCAACATATGGTCTGTCCAAAAGGCACTGGATGAGGGGACATCAAATGGTATCCCTGGCAGAACTGCTTGCTTGCAAGTAGGGAGAAATCTCTGCACCTTTTTTTGGTTAAAACAATGTTAGAATCCAGCTGCTGCGCGGGCCACAATAGCTGTAGCAGCCTTCCCCTCTCACAGGCACAAGCGCCCTACTGAGCTAGTGTCTGTGAGTCTCTAGCTTACAGACTTCCAGGTACCAGGTTTCTCATCTGGTGAAGTGAGTGTACACCAAAGGGAGTATCATCCTGCTCCTCGCCCCCTTCCCTGCCTTCTGCCGGTCTTGTACTGTGAAACCACCTCGTCCTCAGAAAGGTGTAAGAAGAGACACACACCATGCCTTCTGCCTCATGGACCTGGATTTCCTCTCTTCGGAGCCCCAGCCTTGTTGTCTGATTGTCCATGGCATTAACAGCTCTTCTAATAAACTTCACACCCCCAACTCTGTATCAATGTCCCCCTTGAACTAGTATCCAAGACCTGTCACTTTTGAGGTCAGAGGACTGTTCTACATTGACTGTTGTGGTGTGAGAGAAGAGAAAACCAGTTGTTTTTCCTACAGACTTCTATTTTAAAAAAGAGTGAACAGTTTCAAATACTTCTCCTTGGCCTAAATTCAAACTCACCACAACCTGATCTTTCCTGTGTTTTACTGGTTAGTTTGTCACTAACTTTACTAAGCATCTAGTTATTTCTCACTTATAAAGCTAACTCTGGAATAAAAGATATAGTCCCTCCCTACAAGGAAACCATGGTCTTCCCGTTCCCTTATTCATGCCATGCGGAGGACATTTTTCCTCCCTTTGACTTCACAGCCAGAGTCATCCTTCTAATGTAAACTCCCAGTCACATGTCACCTTCTCTGTACGTGTATAATTTTCCCTGCCCACCTTCAAACCTAATGTACGGATGGGGAAACTGAGAGCCTCGTATGACAGTGGGGTGTGCACCAGCCAGTGCATCCACTCTATTCTCCAGCTCCTATTAGAGATCACCTTCTACCATCCCAGCCCCTTGCTGACCTTTGCAAAGACTTTATAAGCGCAACACGTACCTGGCACCCAACACACTGGTGGACTTCTTGACGAATGTACCAGATGCGCCTGAAGAGCCGTAGCCAGGGCGCTAGAGGGCCCAGAAAATATGCTAAGGCTGTGTGCCTGCGCCTGGCGCTCAGCAGCCCTTTACTGTGTGCCTAACTGCTTAAAAACTTAGGGAACATGGGCAATAAGGACGTGGCCCACCAAGAAAGGTTGCCATGGAAACCAGGGGGCTCAGCGCTCACCAGCCTAGAGGTGCCTGCTGATCGTCCGTTCTGCAGGCAGGTATGCCCTGCGCTGGGGGAGGAGGATATTTCCCACAGACGGACCTGGGTTCCAAGGGGGCACTTCCTGAAGGAGGAACTTAAGGCCCAGTGGCGACTTCCGGCTGGCTCTGAGCTCCACAGGAGTGCGGCTGTTTTCTGTGTTCCTAAACACCGGAGCATGCGCTTATTTACATAAAGCATTTCAAATAGAAACCCTAGGGCTGGTGATGTGCCGGAGAGAGAGAAACAAAAAACCAAGTTTCCCCCTACACCAACAGGTAGGTAAAGAGAAATCCCAATCTGTCTTTCAGGGCCTTATGGGGAGAGTAGCTCAGTAAACAAACACAAGACACCAAAGTTG